ATTCTACATAACAAAGATCTACCTTCTTCAGGCAGAGCCATAGGAGGAATTGCTCAAAGCTCTTTCATTACATCATCATCCAGCAAGGCTCAACCAAACTTGGGACTCAAAAACACAACCTACAAAGTTACCCAGGCATGGCCCTGTGGGAATGTTCTGACCAAGACTTCCCAAGAACATGAAGCAAACTCCTTGTACCACAAAAATCCCTTTTGTTAATTTCCCATGAATTCTGCTCATTCACATTCAGCAAAGTCTTTCAAGGGAGGATTTACAGTCACAGACCTTCTCTGGCTTGGAGAGCTGCCAGGCCCATATCTGCAAAACTTGGCGGGGAGCCTCCGAGAGCCACAAATCTATTAAGTGAACTAATTGTCTCCTGCAAACTCCACTCCACATTCGCTCGTCTTTTATTTCCTCTGGGAGGGGCCATTCACCGTCCACCTGTGACATTATTCCCAAGTCTACCCTGATTTCTTAGCTCTTCTTTTCTTCTGGCAGCTCTGCACATGCGCACATGGGGAACAGGCTCCAGCTGTTCCTCTGCCTCACTGCTGTCTAGTTCCGAAGGCAGCTGAGAATTGCCAGATAGTCTTGACCCCCATCTCTACCTCTAACGCAGAGCCCTCGTCCGAGCCTTCCCCAGCCTCCAGGACTGGCCCATGCTCCTCCCCGACCTCCTCACTCTCCAACTCTGCTGCCAGCTCCGCTGTCAGGCCACAACACATACCCAGAAAGGGACGATCTTACCTTTGCCGCTTCCAGGTCGGCTTTCTTGCTCTTTTTTCTGATCAACGTGTTAAAAAAAGCCACGTCTGGTTTCACGTTGTTCTCTTCCATGACGGCCAGCAACGACGATTCGGATGGGCTGTTGAGTTCCACGTTTTCGGCCAACAATATGAACGTCCGAATGTTCCCCGCCACCTTGTCGTCCTTCATTTTTTTTAAGAAACCTTCCATGTTTCCCATCAGAGCCAGTCGGTCGGAGGGCGTTGCCACCGTCCCGAAGGAAACCACATGTGGGGCTGGACTCTGGAAATCTAGCAAGTTAGGGAGGGGAATGGCAGCCTCCGAGAAGGCCTTTCCCGCTAGGGATCCCGGAACCGACTGGTGCTGCTCAGAGATCACCAAACTCCCGTCTGTATCGCATTCTGATAAATCGGATTGAGCGCTTGGCTTCGGTTTTGCGATGTCCTTGGCATCACCTCGGTTTCTTCCTGGCCCCTCAGTTTTTGGATTGTCTCCTGGGAACATATTTCTTTCCAGAGCTTCGACATCTGATAATATTGAAGCTGGAACGTTAGCTATTTTCTTCCTGCGAGCCTTTGTGCCTTGCTCTCTGCCAGAATTCAGCCTCAGTTGAGTTGGGCGTTTCTCTGAGGGTCTTAGTAGCAATTGAGAAGCTACCTCAGAGTCACCAATGCCACAGTATTTGGCAGCTGACAGCATCAAATTGTAAGTGTACAGATCAGGTTTGAGGTTCAGCTTTGCCATCTGTTGCCAAACCTGTTTAAAAACAACAACAGCACCGATCATCAACTTATACANTAGGCAATCATGGGTACATTTTGCCTTTTCCATGTTACATGTTGGTTCTTCTCCCCCCCCCCATCAATGGTGTCCCAAATTGGTAAATTAAAATCTGGTCACTTTAAAGTTGCAACACTAATACTTCAATAATAACAATGATGGTAAATAACAGGACAAACTCACCTCAGTTTCTTTATGTCTGACCAAGAATCCCCTGTACCAATCTATAATTCAAAACAGAAGCATATCATTGTATTAGACTATGTCCTCTCAACACAGTTTCTGCTATATAACAATTATTTTACAATCATTCCGTGGGACTAAGTGTCATTGAAAAGAGCAATTCCCACAATATAGTTGAGAAAAAAGCTAGTCTATCTATTAAAATATTTGATGATTCCTCCTTGCTATGGTTGCAAATTCTTTCCTTCCTTGATTCAGCCACTCACCTCACCAATCCAGTTCTAGGTATCTAACAGGTATACAGTATAAATGCATGTATATTTTAAATAAAAATTAAATACACCCTTCCTAATTGATTAACTGATCAACACAAAGTGGCTTCCATAAACAACTATGTACCAATAGCATGGCTTGATTGTTCCTGTAACCATGATGCCTGTTAAAAAAAACAGCAGTCAGGCCAAAGCAGTAAGCTGAACCACAGGCAGTACTGTATGGTTTTCCAGGGGCAGGGGCGCTGAAGATGAACTGAAGAATGTTCCTTTGGTCCAGCCTATGTGATGCATAGATACAATGGGATCAAAACTGTCCTTCAAATACTCTGGCTCCATGCTACGTACAGCTTTCTTAGTAATAAATAGGACCTTGAATTGCACCAAGAAACAAACTGAAAGTCAGTGTAGCTCGCAGAACCAACATGTAACATGGAAAAGGCAAAATGTACCCATGATTGCCTATGGCACTGCATTGTGGATCAAATGAATGGTTTAACTTGTACATTTTCCCTAACATTCCTTTCCTAGAAAAGTTGCAGAAAAGTGGGAAAGATTTCAATGATCTATATCTACATACAAACATGGCTTGTATGATTACTCTGAATTTAAATGAGTAGTAATTCGCCAAGATTGGATGTTATATTTCAGGGGTGCTGAAAACCAGAAATAAAGTTTATATATTACCTATGGCATTCAAAAGAATTTAATAATCAGCATAGATTTGTGTTTGTGGAAGCCATGTTTCCCAGTTATCCTTCAACTGGACTATTGCATTTATCCTTATGGGCAAATGTGTCATTGGGAGTCAAACTACTATTCTGCATTAGCACTGTAGTCTCCTGATTAATGTAACAACACCATATGCTAATAATAATCATGCTAATTTTTTTGGCTTTTGCTTTTTTAAACCAAGGAAAAACCTTTTCAATGTTTTCCAAGTATGTGGACACTAAATTGTACTTGTTCCAAACCTATGGAATTTCATGGAGAGTTATAATCCAAAAATACTGGAAAATGTTTCATGGAGCTTCCAGAGATTCCTATATTCTTGAAGTTCTGGGAGTTGCAAAGCAGTACATCTGGACAGTGTCCAGTTGCAGAATGCTGATATGTGATTTCTTGACACATAAAATGATCAGAAGAACGTCAAAGCTGAATCAAATAAAAAGCTATGAAATTCTGCATATTTTCTTTTTTCCCAACCTACATGGACAGCCAGATGCCTAGCAGAAGCACCGATGGGAAGTTTGAAGACAGTAATTCATTCTCTCTCTCCTTTACTAGTAATGAGAAACTTGGTATGGCTGATATTTGATGTCCTGATCCATCAATATCTTCCTCACTAGTTACTGATAGCCCTGGCTTCCATGACCCTTCTTACCTTCCAAAGATATTTAAATCTGCAGTGGTGGCTGCATTTCATGAATGTCAATTCCATTGTTCACCTAACTGCTGCAAGCATCTTTATTTATAGATAACTTGAATTCCCACTGTTCAGTTTCACAGGAAGAAGGGAAAGAAAACTTTCTAAACATTTTTAAACTATGAAATTTCTAAAGCTTCTGCCATAGTTTCTTGATGTCCCTAGCCAAAAATAACACACTTGATATGCATTGATAAGTTTCATGTATAATAGAGAACACAGGCGTGCAGTCAGGGGAGGCAGGGGAGGCAGAGCCTCATCACTGTCATCATGAAAAGAAAAAAATGTAAAAGGAATAAGGCAAGAGCTGATGTCAGGAGGAGCCAGTTGCTACCAGAGTCACCATTGATGTCTCTGCTTTG